GTGGTCTGCTTCGCCATGTGACTTCACCACAACATCATCAATATAGATTTCCATGAATTTACCAATCATATCATGAAAAATTGCATTCATGGCTCTTTGGTAAGTAGCTCCAGCATTCTTCAGACCAAATGGCATCACAACCCATTCAAAAGTTCCAACAGCACCTGGGCATCGAAAGGCTGTCTTAGGAACGTCTGCGTCTGCAATAAAAATTTGGTTGTACCCACTATGGCCATCCATAAAAGATAGAATTTTGTGATGGGCTACTCCATCAACCAACAAGTCTGCATGTCCAAATGAACCCAGCTTTTACCAGCCGCTCAATTTCTTCTTTCACCTTCAAAGTGACCTCTGCAAACATGCATCTGGGCGGCTGTTTATACGGTCTGAATCCTTCTACAATTGGCAGTTTATGTTCCACCAATTTTAGATCCAGACCTGGCATTTCTGAGTAATCCCAAGCAAAACAATCTTTAAATTCATGCAAAAGTCTGACAATTTGATCTCGTGTCTGCGGCTCAAGAGAGCCACTGATAAATGTTACCTTTGGTTCACTTTCAGACCCTAGATTGATCTCCTCCAGTGGGTCTTGAACTTCAGCTTTTAAATCATCCAATTTCGCTGGGGCCAAATCCAGCTCCTCCAAAGTTATTTCATCACCTCGGTCTGCCTCCTCACCTTCATAAACAATTTCAGACCTGTCTACTTGAACTGCTTTTTCAGCAAAATAGGTCGCTAATTTCTTTGTTATCTCCAACACGACCTTTTCTCTTTCCTGTCTCAGACGAGCTTACTTCATTAAATTTCTTCAATTTTTAGTTTCCCCTTCGGCCTATAAGGAATTATTGTTGTTGGCTGAAGAAGTTCATCACAGACTTCCTCTACAGCACACTTAGACAAAGACAGTCTGCTGCATGCTGTTATCCTAATCGGTTTCCCATGTCTATCCATCCCAAAAAACCGAATGGTACCAATGTCTTCTTCATAATATCTAGCCTCCACCAAGTGAGTGTTGGCTAAAAAAGGTTTATCATCTGCAGACACGACCTCAGCCTTGCCACCATTCCAGAAAATCAGTTTCTGGTGGAGTGAAGAAGGGACACACCAATTTAAATGAATCCAGTCACGCCCCAAAAGTGCATTATAAGTAGCAACAGTATCCACCACAAAAAATGCAGACATCAGTGTCCTATTTCCCACTATTAATTTAACAAGCAGCACACCCCTTGAACAATTCACCCCTCCTGTAAAATCACTAATTGTAACCTCAGTATGCACTAAATCATCAAGAGATTTGCCTATTTTATAGAGCATGCAAGTTAGAAGGACATTGACTGCAACTCCATTATCCACCAAGACACGGCTGATTAGAGTCTCATCCATGTGGGCATTGATATAAAGTGGCCTAATGTGTCTAGCCATCTTTTCTTCCGGTTTTTCAAACACAATTTTGTCAGCCATGTCCTCCTCCTCATCATCCTGAGCTGGAACAACAATTACCTCTTCTTCTGTCTGTTCTGGGAACTCACAGACGATTGGTTCCTCCTCCTTCTTGGCTTGGAAAACCAAGGGTAACGTCAGCACCAGACATGACAAATTCACTAAGAATTCCCCAAAATGAATAGTGCCATCTTCTTTTGATTCAGCTCCACGATTCCCAGACTGTTCTTGTGCTTCAAAAGTTGCTTTCAAAACCCCGTCTGGACTCACAATAACAGATGCCACCTTTGGAGAGGCTGGAGATTAGTCATCCCCCTTCAGTAGAGTCTGGGTTACAGCCTCCTTTTTCTCTTTTCTCACCCACACCATGTTCCTTTTTATAGGCTGGCGTGGTCTGCGAGATGAACTTCCCTCAACCTCCATCTGCTGCTGTTGCCTTTTCCGCTTTTCAGCCCTCTTGCGTTGCAGTCTGCGCCTTAAGGTTCTGGGATTCTGGGTTGGAAACTTAGGATGACTGACTTTCTCCCACCATCTGGAAGGTGACTTAAGTGGCGGTTTGACCATCCTTAGAGATCTGGTACCAGTTGAGTAACGTCTGGCACCTTCTGGACTGAAGTTCTTGGTCACAATAATCCTTCCTTGCCCCCCGAGTCTCTGTTGGTCTGACCTGACGCTCCTGCTATGTTTGGATCTCTGTGCCTCAAGCACCCGCCTCAAGCACCCACCTCAAGTCTTCAGCAGCAAGGTTCCTTTGAGTATAAGGCAGACTACGATTTCTGGCAACACTCCTGAGGTCTGCAACATTCATGCCGACAGACACAGCTGGAAAAGGGTCTGCATCCACTCCCATGGTTTCCTTCGCTTTGTTTGGAAATCTCAATATGTCCTTATCAATCTTTTCCAATGGCCTCAAGGCTGGCCCATGGTCTCTATTGAAGAATTGAGCTGGTTGATTCTGCAGACCACGCCATACCGACTGGGCTTGGAATTTGTGGCTGGAAAAAGTCCCTTGGGTAGGGTTGATGATGAGGACCCACATTTCCCCTCCTACCTAGCGGAACATATCTATGCTGAGGTTGATGGCCACGGTCTGCAACAGGAGCAGCAGCCTCAATTGGTTCATGCTGTCTTTGTCCTTCACCCATGAAGAAATTCTGCTGTTGAATGTTAGGATAAGGCTGATTCCCTTCCCCCCCGAGTGCTGGGCTTGGGGCTTCTTGAATCTGTTTGGGCATTTCAACAACTGGAAGAGGAATCTCAGGTCTGGGCTGTCGCACTTGCTCAACCACTTGTTCTGAAACAGCCTGTAGTGTTCTGCGACTTTCTTCCCCAGTTTCTCGCATCACCCTAGTGCCTTCCTCAAAGACCCGTCTCATGTCTTCCATACATTGTCTAAATATCTCTTCCTGACGTCTGGAGGATTCTGCTTGACTCTCAACCAGTCTCTGCCTAGTCTGGTTCTTTTCTTTGAATGCTAAATCCAGACGTTCCATCATACCTCTAAACATATTACTTGATTCAGCAAAGTCACCCCCACGGTCTGCCTTTTTTTCCTTAAATACCGGATTCCCATAAGATCGTTTTGCCAGAGGTGACACTGGGAGAAAAGTGATGGGATCATTTTCACCCTCAAATTGGCATGGACTGTCATCTGCATGTTCAACCTGGGCTGGCTGAACCTCTTTGTCTTTGCTCTTTCTCGGTGGCATGGCTCCAAACGCTTCTGGATGGATAAACAGAGGGTCTGTGAACTTTAATTGATACACCTTTCGAGTCCCACTGGGCGTGCCAACAAAGGATTGTTTCCTCAAAAATCCTCAGTCGACCTTTACCACGTGAGTTGGATGTTAGGCGTGCCACTTGCTTTGTCTAAAAACAAGAAAATAGGATTTTCCAGACGACCCTTCTCCTTTCCAACGGTCGACCTCCAATAGGATGGCTGGAAAGAATGTCTGTGAAATGAATTGCGCCCCAGACGATGTTGCAAAACAGAGGGTAGAGTTCTACAAAATGGGTTACTAATTGCCTTGGAAACCTCCAAGGACTTCACAACCAAACAAGTGTAATAAAAGCTACAAATCCTAAAATAAATGCAATATCCTAAAGCAATTAAACTAACATGAAGTAAATAATAGAAAATAACATGCCATAAAGATTAAATTCGCAGACAACAAAAAAAGTAAAAATAACATATAATGATTTCAACTACGCAACCCATAATGATAACTAAAACTAAAGAAGAAACTATAAAATGATTAAAGTCTGGAAACTTATAAATTTAAATCTGGAAATTGAAATTAAACAAACTGCATGTCTGGATATTGTGCAAAGATATAAGAACAAAGGTAGAAAACATTCATCCTATTTACATGAACGAATAACATAACTAAATCCATAAAAGGAAGAAGAACTAACCGAATCAAAAGGGCAGACCTGTTTTGAAGGCTAAGTTGCTTCCAAATGTTTAAAAACTAATCTAAATTGGAATTTGCAAAAGAAAATATGAACAAATATGGACAAACCTAGGCTAATGCTATGAACTAATCTGGAAAATCTGGAAAATCTGGAAACTAATGCTGAAATCTGGAAAATGCAGTCTAAAAGCTGAAAAACATGCTCTGGGCAGTCTGTGTGTGTGTTGGGCAGGCCTTGAACTGTTCTCTTCTCTCTGTTTTTGTTCCCTTCGATGCTGGTAACCTCCTCCATGATCTTCTCCATGATCTTCGGTACTGTTCCTCCATTTTTGGCACTATTCCTCCATGATCTGGTAATGGGATTGCAGGTCTGGCAGTTATTTAATAGTTATCTGATTTTTATTTAACCTTATCTCCAACAACCTTAAAGATAACTATCTAAAAATCCTCAATTTCCCATTTTAAATCAAACTCAAACTACCAGATCCAATCTTATCTTCTGCCACCTAAGATCCAACCTCCTTGGAAATCCGTCTGGACCATTAAATTGTAAGCCAACCCAGCCCAAATCCAGCCTATTGATTTTTTTGATGATTGGGCTTTACCTTGACACGTGGCCTTATCCTATTGGTTTATTTTAGGTGTAAACACAAACTATTAAAAAACTTACTCTGATATTATATTATATAAAATTATAATTGTATATATTTAATCTTTAAATAAAAAAATTAAATATTAAAATTAATCCCAAATTTTTAATATTTTTAATCTTAAAATTATTACACTTTTTTCAGTTTCTTAACCTAGCTATAATATAAGAAAGACCCACTTTCCTTAATCAAACTGTCGAGTCACACGACGTAGGGGACATGTGGAACATAATAACAATGATGGCCAGTAATCTTACCTAATCCCATCTAATTTAATTATTGCATCGGTTCCAAGTATGTAGATATTAGCATTTAACTTCAGTTCAAAAAAAAAAAAAAAAGTACGTAAATATTAGCTTTCATCGATTTTACTTATTAAAATATAATTTTTTT